TATTGAGTTCAAGAAGAATAATGCTAAGCTGTTGGTTCTAGCCTATTTTTGGGGTGCCTAAAACGGCATTAATTTGAATTAGAGACAATTAGAACTCATTAAATATCACTGGCTATTTGGACATTTATGACCTTGTCTATGCAACACTTAATATTACATAAATTTTCTTTACAATCACAAAACATTGCTAAAATTTAGCAAAGAAGATCTGTGGGTTCAAGAATTCAAAGAACTGTGATCAGTCATAATACTTATCTAGTAGGGTCTGTTTGGGTGTAGGGTTTTGGAGGTATGGTGGGGAAGATTTTGGAGTTGCACTATAAAGTTAATTGTTCATTTTTATAAAGTTTCAATTTTTATCCAGATAAAGACTATGCTCTTCAACGTTTTCCTCTCCAAACTCTCCATCCGAATAGACCCTTGAGTAATGCAAGTATCTTGTCTGTACTATGTTATCATACTTTCTCATTGCTTGCTACTGATGAAGATTTCCTAATTGCCTATTGTTGAGAATGAGTGATATAAGGTTAATGTTTTATCTAACTTTGCAACTACTAATTCTTTGAAATTCTAACAAATAAATCCCAGAAGTTCAATTTGTATTTCCTGAAGAAGGGGCATCATCAGCTCCGACAAGGAGACATCTAATTCCCGGAGATGAGAATACTGATGGTAGTACACGATTGGATGGTTCTGCTGATGGTGAGAAGAGCATGTTTGTCAATGATGAAAACATGACTAAGAAGAAAAGAGAATATAAAGAGCCTTGGGTAAGAAATCTCTATTCCTTGTTGATAATTAATTTGATATGTAAGTGCCCCCCATTCGTTTTTTATAGTGACCTTGATGATGCCTTGGCAGGATTATAAAAATAGCTACTATCCTATTACTCTTCCTCTTCGAAGGCCTTATGCTGGAGATCCAGGTATTGTGACTGAAGAGTGTTCACTTTTAATGCCCATCTATTCATCTGTTAAAGCAATTTTAGTCTATAAGGTAGAAGAGCTAAACGCAAGGGCCTGAAACACCAAGTGGAGTCCAGGACTCAAATCTTCCTTCTTGCAAAACATACCCTTGGGGTCCGTTTGGAATAAGGGAAGTGCCAAGAGAAGAAAATAAGAAGGAAGATTTAAGGGAATAAGTCAAATAGAAATAAGTTTTGAGGGAGAAAAAAATTGATTCGAACCCAGTATATCAATTTGATATTTTTTCATATCAAGTTTGATTCTATTTCTTATTTTCCAAGGTAAAACAGACCTTAAAAAATCATTATGTTAGGGCTTTTTTCCTTCTACATACCATTTTACACGTTCCCAACAGTCTTAGGAAACTTGTAGGGAAGACATTCTTACACTGTTTTTCTTTAAAGAATGATGTTTCCCCTTTTCAAATTTCTAAATCTTGCCTTTACATTTCCATCGAACATAGAAATGGCATTCAAAGTTCAAACTTTAATCTAGAGTACTAGTCTTGAGTTAAATCCATAGCTTGCTACTACAAATATGCCATTTCCAATATTGTTCTACGGTTCTACCTCTCAATGCCCATATTTTCCCACCCTGTAGAAATCCTTGATGAAGCAGAATTTGGAGAGGCAACGAGAAACAAGAAATATGATGAGAGTAAAAGTCATGCTTCTTCAGAGCTTGGCTTAGAGGTAACAATACAGTTGATGTTTATCTCTTATTTTTTATCACTTAAACAAGAAGATTTAGCAGTTAAAGTTAATTGATGCACTTGTAACACTTCGATTTGCAGGATGGAGATGAGCCAAGACTTATTTTTTTTCAGCTACCTAACAACTTGCCTTTAGGGAGGAGGGATATGGGCGTGCAATTTAAGACACCTACTGCAAAGGGAAAAGAGGTAGTTGAGGCTCCAACCAGTGCAAAGGGGAAAGAAAAAGTTGAGAATCAGACAGCTGGGCAAAGAAGCTCTACAGATAAGGGATGCAGTTTGAAAGAGTTGCCTAGTGGTCACATGGGAAAGATGTTGGTTTACAAGAGTGGTGCAGTTAAAATGAAGCTGGGAGGCATCCTTTATGATGTAAGTAGCATCCTTACAGGCTTAGCTAGCCTTAGAGGCTCTGAACATGTTTGGGAGGACTTATGCTGGAAGTGCTAGTACAAATCACGCTTTATCATGTGATCACTAAAAGTTCTTTTTAAGCTCTCACCCTATGCTTTTTTAAATAAGCTCAAAAGATTTTTTGTTCATTTTCATGCCAAACACTAAAATTAAAGTAACAGTACTTTTCTTCCTAGATAACGAACTTGCTGTTTGAAAATAAGTCTTCCCAAACGCACTTTTAGGTTTCTACATTTTTTGCGCATTAACACGACCTGGTGGCAGAAAAAACTCATTATGAGCTTATTTAGCTAGTTCATCCCAACGAGACTTGCAAACTTGCATGGATAAAGATGACTAGAAGTTTTTTCAGTCATCTCTAAATGTTTACCTTATGGTCCAAGTCAAATAACTTATGGGAAGTGTTTTGTTTTTATCCTGTGAAGTAGTTAGTCTATGTTTTTGTTTTGCATAATGTTACCCGCGAAAATAGTAAACATAAAGCAGTTTCAAGAAAATGGGAAGTTAGTCTACAGAGTTTAGAATCCTGTTCAGAGAAGTACTGGAAATTCTTTAGGGAAAAATATATTTCTATCCCAAACACAGGAAATTAAAACGCGGCTTCCAGAAAAATCAAGTAAACAAAAAGATCATAAATAGATGCAAAGTTAGTGGTTATTTTATGTTATTAGGCCTATAATCAAACATGAAAACTATAATGGCAAACAAATTGGCAGGTATCTCCAGGAACCCAAATCTCATGTCCTCAGCATGTCGTTGCAATCAACACTATGGATAAGAGTTGCAGTAAGGTGGGCGATGTCGAATCGCGCGCGGTTGTCACTCCCGATATAGATGCACTCTTGGCTTCAGTCCTGGATTTGGATTGAGAGTCTACTGCACACAAGCTTGACAAGGGTAAAGTTTTTGTATATGCAATTACAGCCATTATCATTGACATAACATGCAAATGGCAAACAATGTGGCCTAGTTTAACAATTTGTATAGAGAGATGCACGTACTGAAAATTGAAAGCTAAATGTATCTACGAACAATGAAATGAAACAATGGTCCTCCTTGATAAAAGAGGCACAAACTTTTTGTCTTCGTATAGGCCGGTATGAGGATTTTTTTGAATTTTTTTACAGAGTTTATGAACCCTAATAATTTAATTAAAATTGAAATTTGTGGTGGACCGGGGCTTAGGTTGGCCTCCCTATTGGTTAGGGGTGACCAACTCGATCCCGATCCATCCAATTTTGCAAACAATTATTGTGTGTGAGACATTTAAAAGTTATGTAAATGATTTAATTTAGGTCCATTAAGAATTCAGATTTTAGGAGCCGGTGCAGTAATAATGCTTGTGTGTGTTGGTGTGCTTAAGCTTGTATTCTGTTACTCATTTTATCTGTTTAGAAATCCAATTGAAAATCTCATTAATGACCAAAGTGGTGCATACCGAAAAAATACGAGTGATATTTTAAGAAATTCATTTGTGCTTCAATTCTAGCCTGCTGAGTATGAACTGTATGATAGGTTTTGTGGCTTTTAAGTTGGAATGCTTTTTTTTTGGAAGAAGTTGGAATGCTTTTATATATAGATATATACGAAGTAGATGCTTTGGCAGGGGCAACAGTAATTATTTTAAAAATGTGATTTAAACTCAGATTTGACTTAAAAATGGAGTGCACACTACTAAATAAATCTCATCTTAAAACACTATAACAATTTACGCATAAAATGTGAACTTGTCCAATACTTGTCCCTCTTTTCATTTCGATTTGTTCTTTAAATCTTTAATACTTGTCTCTATCTATTTCAATAAATTACTCTCATTTTATTTCCTACTTTTCCATTCTCTTTAATACTTTTTCATTTAAACACAATCTATTGTACCTTACATTATCCCTACTACCTCCGTCCCAAAAAATTTGTCATTTAAAAAAAAATGGCTAAATGGTCAATTAGGTACATGAACTAACTTAAAGTGTTCGATTAGCCTCTTATATAGGAGGTTCTGCCCGGCCGTCGCCAATTGGGGCGGTTCCCAGTGGAATTTTTTGATGAAATTTTTTTAGCATCTTCTTCATTAAGTCTAGTTTACACATACTAAATTTCAGCTAAAAATTCAACTGGGAAGGCAGTCAAATGATTTTTTGAAGATAACTGCACAGTTAAAAAACACAGTACATTTTGGAAAATCATTTGACTGCCTTCCCGATTTAATTTTTAGCTGAAATTTGATATGGGTAAACTAAACTTAATGAAGAAGATGCTCAAAAAATTTCATCAAAAAGTTCAACCGGGAACCGCCGCCATTGGCGACGGCCGGGCAGAACCTCTTATATAAGGGGTTAATTGAACACTTTAAGTTAGTTCATGTACCTATTTGACCCTTTACCCAAAAAAAATTGAACCATGATTTTGATTAGTATAATATCATGGAAGTTAATAATTTTGTACTTTTATGAAAATACTTTTAACAAAGAACATTTTCATATAATTTTTATATTATAAATAATTTCCAATAAAAAGATATAATTGGTCAAAGTTTTGAAAATAATAAAATTTTTTGGGACGAAGGTAGTACTCCCTCCGTATCTTTAAAATCTTCCCATTTCAAAAGTAGGTAGATTAAGAATAGTGAAAGATGATATGAATTATTGAGGGTATGATGGGAAAATAGTGGAATAATGTGGTGGAATGTAGGATAAATCCAAAAAAAGTAGTTGTAATAGTGTATTATTTTAAGAATTATTGAGGGTATGATGGAAAGATTTAGAAATGGGAAGATTTTTGTGTTACGGACGAAAAAGGAAAGTGGGAAGATTTTTAAGTTACGGAGGGAGTATTATTTTCCTCTTAAAGTTGTGTCATACACTCATAACTACGGGAGAATGGAGAGTACTTCGTATATGAGAATATTCTCTGCGGTATCTAACATTCTAAAATTTCTAACCATCTTTTTCTAGAAAATGGGTTTGTCCGATGACAATCATACGTGTGACGTATCTCGAATATAGAAAAACATAATGATTTTGTTCTCCACACACTGCCTATCCCTTTTAATGGTCATCTTTCATATAAAAATAACAAAGAAGTATTATCAACCATATTTAAACAGAGAAATATATTATCAACCATATTTAGGTCGTCGCCCGTAAGCGACGCGTCATCCCTCCGCCTGGGGGTGGTGTCAAATATGCAAGGGTGCGCTACACTTCATAGGCCTGGGTGTGGTGATAAGAATGCTAAGGTTGCTAGGTCGTCGCCCGGAAGCGGCGCGTCATCCCATTGCCCGAGGATGATGTCAAATATGCACGGGCATGGTGGGATCCGAGGCGGGGCTAAGAACATAAGGTGGAGTGCTAGATTGCGCTTTGGGACGTGGAATGTTGGGTCTCTTACAGGCAGATCTTCCGAGGTAGTCGAAGTTATGAGGAGGAGGAATATCAGCATTATGTGTGTGCAAGAAACTAAATGGGTTGGAGAGAAAGCACGTGAGATTAATCCTGGAGGTTTTAAGTTGTGGTATTCGGGGAGAGATAAGACCAGGAATGGGGTAGGCATTATTGTGGCGCGTGACTATGTTGAAGATGTGGTAGAAGTCTTCAGGAAGAACGATCGTATCATGAGCATTAAATTGGTGATGAGGGGTGAGATTGTGTCTGTGATAAGTGCCTATGCACCACAAGTGGGATTGGATGCATCTACGACTCAACAGTTTTGGGAAGATCTTGAAGAAGTGGTGCGGCGAGTGCCAAGGGGAGAGAAGTTGGTCATAGGAGGCGACCTCAACGGGCATGTGGGCTCGAGCCGTGATGGCTTTGAGAGTATTCATGGCGGACATGGTTTTGGCACTAGAAATGAAGCAGGAAAGAACATTTTGGATTTTGCCTCGACGTATGAGTTGGCTATAATGAACACTTGGTTTAGGAAAAGAGACTCTCACCTTGTAACCTATAGAAGTGGAGCTAATAGTACCCAAATTGACTACTTCTTAGTACGGACTACTCGGAGAACTAGATACACCGATTGTAAGGTTATCCCAGGTGAGAGTGTTGTCACTCAGCATAGGATGCTTGTGCTTGACTTTCGAGGTAAGAACCATAGAAGACAAGTTAAGCAACAAGTGGAGCCAAAGATAAAGTGGTGGAGGCTTGAGGGAGATCTTCAACAAAGCTTTGCACACAAAATGTTCGGTGAAGATGTATGGCGTATTGATAATGGAACACATGTGGAGGATGCGTGGTTATCGATGGAGCTGACCATCAACAAAGTGGCAAAGGAGGTACTTGGAGAATCTAAAGGATGTCTGCCACCCAAAAAGGACACGTCGTGGTGGAATGATGAGGTGAAACAAGCCATAAGGAACAAAAGATATTGCTACAAAAAGTTGGGGACGAGTCGGAGTGATGAGAACATAGAAGCATACAAGGAGGCTAGAAGACAAGCAAAGAAAGCCGTAAAGGAATCACAAGGGAAAGTGAACAAGGAGTTGTATGAAAAATTGGACTCTAAGGAAGGAGAACAAGATATCTATAAACTTGCTCGTCTTCGTGATCGTAGGACTCATGATATCGGAAAAGTTAAGTGTGTGAAGGATGTCGATCAAAGGATATTAATGGAGGACATAGAGATAAAAGAGAGGTGGAGGTCATACTTTGACACTTTGTTCAACAGGAACAAAGTGCAAGATATTGGTGATTTGACCATACCAGATTGTATGGTAAATCGTGATTTTGTGAGAAGGATCCAACCAACGGAAGTTAAAGAGGCTCTGAGAAAGATGGGGCGGAAGAAAGCAGTGGGTCCAGATGGCATACCGATCGAGGCTTGGAGAAGTTTGGGAGAGAGAGGCATCGAGTGGTTAACAAATTTCTTCAACAAGATTTGGAGAAACAACAAGATGCCAACGAGTTGGAGAAAGAGTACTCTTATTCCCTTATTTAAGAATAAAGGTGATGTACAAGAATGTGCCAACTATCGAGGGATTAAGCTTATGAGTCATACCATGAAACTTTGGGAGCGAGTGATTGAGCAAAGACTTCGAAGAACGTTGAAGATTTCAGAGAATCAATTCGGTTTTATGCCTGGTCGCTCAACAACTGAGGCTATTCACCTTCTTCGGCAACTTATGGAGAAGTATAGAGACGCTCACAAGGATTTGCATTTAGTGTTCATTGACTTAGAAAAGGCATATGATAGGGTACCTCGAGAAGTTCTTTGGTGGGCCTTAACTAGAAAAGGCATTTCATGGAAGTATATCAGCATCATCATGGATATGTATGAGGATTGTACTACAAGTGTCCGTACTAGTGTAGGGAGGACTGCGGAGTTCCCTATTACTATCGGAGTGCACCAAGGATCGGCTCTGAGCCCTTTTTTATTTGCCATAGTCATGGATGAACTTACAAAGTCAATTCAAGATGATATACCGTGGTGCATGATGTTTGCCGATGATATTGTATTGATTGATGAGACACAATCAGGGGTCAAAGCAAAGTTGGAAGTATGGCGACAAACATTGGAGAACAAGGGTTTCAGACTAAGTAGGAGCAAGACAGAGTACATGGAGTGCAAGTTTGGTGGGGGTAGAAGCAGTGGTAATAGCGGAATTACTTTAGATGGTAAGGAGATACCGGTCAGCGATATGTTCCGTTACTTGGGCTCCATAATTCAGAAGGACGGTGAGTTAGATGGAGATGTATCCCATAGAATCAGAACAGGGTGGATGAAGTGGAAGAGTGCGTCAGGATTTCTATGTGATCGAGGTATGCCGACTAGACTGAAGGGTAAATTTTATAGGACAGCAATTAGACCTGCACTACTGTATGGCACGGAGTGTTGGGCGGTGAAACAATGTCACATTCAAAAGATGAGTGTGGCAGAGATGCGCATGCTGCGTTGGATGTGCGGGCATACTAGAAAGGATCGTGTGAGGAATGAGACAATTAGACAAAGGGTGGGAGTAGCACCTATTGAAGATAAGATGCGGGAGTCGCGCCTACGATGGTTTGGTCATGTGCATAGGAGACCGATTGATGCACCTGTCAGACGAGTGGAGATGTGTGGAGAAGAGGCAGGGAAGAGAGGGAGAGGAAGGCCCAAACAGACGTGGGCTAGGGGAGTCAGAAGTGATATGCTTCTTCTTGGATTGGATGAGAGTATGGCTTTGGAAAGAGCGAAATGGAGGGCGGGTATTCGTGTGGAGGAGTGATATTGTATCATCTTTTCCCCTCTTTTCTTCTTCTTTTTCTTTTTCTTTTTCTTTTATATTTTTATCCTTATATATAAACATTACTTTATCCTTTTTATTTTATCTTTTATATGTATATTCATCTATTTTATATTATCTTTTTTATAATAGCTTATCTTTTTTATCTTTATTTCCTTTCTTTTCTTTTGGATGATATCATGTATCGATTCATGTTAGCCGACCCCAATATCGTTTGGGACTAAGGCTTGGATGTTGTTGTTGTTGTTGTTGTTTGTGAACAAAAAAAATGAATTTAGTACTCCGTATGACAGAAATAGCGCATATAAAGCATTGTCCCTATTTTGCAAATACATGAGCTAATATGGTTTAATAACATCAAAAGTGATCACAATAGCTTCATTACTTGTGCGTAAGCATTGTAAATTTATTTTTCCTTGTAGCATTTTTAAAAATTATTCGGTGAGATGATTTAATAGAATTATTTGAAATCAAAATAAGAAACTGATTATTTCATGAATATCTGTGAAACTTGAGGCAATTAGTACGTGAGTGTAAAACACATACAAGATCTGAATATTTTGTGAGGGTGAATGAGGTTATATAGAGGGTGTGAGATTATGAGTCCATTTGGTAGCATGGGAATCGGCTGATTTGGTTGATTCTGTTGAAATCTATGAAGATCTGACTGAAGGAGCTGCATTGGCTGATTCTGCCGATTTAAGAAAAAATATTTTTAAAATATATTTTATTAATAAAATAAAGAAAAAAATATATGTAAAAATTGCTAAAATGGTCATCTGCAGTAACTTCAGCCAATACAGCCAAATAAGTAACTCCAACCTTACTTTTTCTGCTTATTACACAATTCAGCGCGCGAAAACAAAATTTACATGTTTGGTGAAAAAGTTGGATGATAAGCATGATAAGCCGAAAAACAGTGTTGCCAAACGGCCTTTATATCTTAGAGAAATAATGTTTCAAGACTTTAAGAGCATGTATGATAACATTGAAGTTGACTTAATCAGTTGATTCTGCTGAAAATAATTAAGTTCTGGTGAAGGGGCTGAATTGAATTAATCTTTTGAGTTATGAAAAAAATATTAAAAACATATATTTTATTAATAAGAGAAAAAAAAGTTATATGAAAATTTACCTAAAATCATTCTCTATAATAGCTTGAGCCGATTCAGTCACAAAAATAACTATGACCTGATTTTGATTATTGCACATTTTGGCGTTCGAAATAAAAATTTACGTGTTTTTAAACTTTAGTTTTCATATTTAAGCACATTCAATTGATTGAGATGTTTCGGCTATAATTTCACCAATTTCAATCGATTCACTTGATTCATAAATACCAAACAAGTTCTTAAAGTAATATCACTATTATTCATGAAATCAAGAATTAGAATCTCATCAGGTGAATGGAATGAGGAGTAGTACATGGTAATCGGTATGAAATGTCAAACATACGCAATTACGCAGAATGTAAGATTTGCATACGTACTACGTTCGAAAATAACGTTTGAAATACTACGTATCAGACATCCACTACAAAAAACACTGACAGATTTTTGACAGGGATTTGCCAAAATTTATAGAGGATTTGACAGTGATATGCTAAGTCTGTTCCAAAAACACTAGCACGAACTATTTGACATAAAATCATTGATAAATTCATATCAAATCCGTGTCAATTCTGCAAAACTGAAAGTATCCAAATTAATAGAGGATAAAAAGAGTCATCTATGAACAATGTATTTTTGTTATTTTGACCGGATTGTCTAATAATTTGAAGAAAAGTTGTCGATCATATTTGCATTGAATTCAAAATGACAATACTTGAATAAAAATCCATGTTCTTGTGCTGGCGTAAGTGTGCTCTGTCAACTGTCAAATGTGAACCTACACAAACACTTTGAATGGCGCACCATCAAAGGAAAAACATTCTGTAGGGCCGCAGGCCGCCCTAAACTGGGCAGGCAAAAGGCAATATGGGAGGCCACCCCTAATTCCTATCTCAAAATTATAATTACGTTTATTTTAGGGAAAAGGGGCAAATAAGCCCTCGAACTAATCAAAAAAGTGCAAATAAGCCCTTTTGTAGGAGGTTCCGTCTGTCCATCGTCATTTGGGGAGGTTCCCGGTGAAATTTTTTGATGAAAATTTTTGAGCATCTTATTCATTAAGTCTAGTTTAGTCATACCGATTTTCAGCTTAAAATTCAATCGGGAAGACAGTCAAATGAATTTTTGAAGATAACTGCGCAGTTAAACAACGCAGTATATTTCTGAAAATCATTTGAGTGCCTTCCCGGTTGAATTTTTAGCTGAAATTTGGTATGGCTAAACTAGACTTAATGAAGAAGATGCTAAAAAAAATTCATCAAAAAATTCCACCGAGAACCTCCCCAAATGACGATGATCGGACAGAACCTCCTACAAAAGGGCTTATTTGCACTTTTTTGATTAGTTCGAGGGCTTATTTGCCCCTTTTCCCTTTATTTTACTTTTTAGTGTTAGATAGTTGGACTGAATATTTCCGTTCAATATGGTCTTTGCACAACCATCAGGCATCAGTTCATATTTCCCAAACAAATTGACAAAAAACTATGTGCCCGTTTACTAATTCTCAAATCGGTTACAACTCATTCTGTTGAAATTTACGAAACTCTCTGACCGATATAATTGAATTGGTTGATTACGTTGATTTATGAAAAAAAAAGTTAAAATATATTTTATTAACTATATAAAAAAGAATTGTATGAAAATAGCTAAAATGATCATTTACAGTAACTTCAGTCAATACAGTCAGAAAGGTAACTCCAAATTTACTTTTTCGTATTACAATATCAAAAGTTGAAGAATGTGGTTGATAAGTGTTATAAACCAAAAAACTGTTGTATGAGTGTGAGATTAAGAGCTAGTATAAAAGCCCTATTTTCGATTTATCAAACAAGTGACTATTACTTAAACAAGTGACTATTACTTGGAATAATGTAATAATCAAAATGAGTTAGGCTGATGTTATTTTTCAGACGGGTGGAAATTACTTAAATGACTATTTTAGCTATTTTGTATTATATTTTCTTTACTTTGTTAATAAAAAATATTTTAAATATAATTGTTTTTACCCTTTTTATGTACTTGTTTTACATTTGATCAAATGATTGAACCAATTTCAATCAATGTTACCAAACCAACTCTAAGAGTATGAACATTTTATTCATCTAAATTACAAGGACCCCATTTTTATTTTATTATTTGAAAGAAAGAACCCATTTTTATTTTATTTATTTTACTTTTTTTTATTTTTTATTTATAAATAACGCAAATAAACTTTGAATTCTAAAATTGAAATTTATATTTATGAGTTTGTTAGTGATTCAATGAACTCTGAAATTTTAGCAATTACTAATTCTTCGGCAACTATAAATTGTATTCATGAATGGAATCGAGGGGCGATCGCCCCCTTGGACTTTCAAAATTTTCTATTATATATGTAATATTTTCATACTTTAATTAGATATATATGTGTGTGTTCGTCCCCCTTAACTATTATTTTTAAAAATTAACATATATAATACTTAGTAGGATATTTAAAAGAAGAAGCATCTGAAATAATCTATCATTACTTAAATAAATAAACAATAGAACAACTCATTGTTTAAGGCATAGCATACCAAAATGTAAAAATGATTAGTACTCGATTTTGAAAATATCAAACGATATTTGTTAGATATACATTCTAGAATAGACTATTGCATTTACTTGTAACAAACTATGTTTGTTAGAGTCGGTTAAGAGTCTGTTAGTGGTATAACCTAACCGATTCTATATATATACCTTGTAATGCTGCTCAGATTAATCAATTCGAATTCTCCTGTAACCTCCGCACATCCTCTCCTGATCAAACTCGATGCTAACAATTTTCTTTTTTGGAAGCATCATGTGGAATCTGTTGTTCGAGCACATAAACT